TATCACTCATAATAAAAAACTCATTACAATTTTACTAATAAGCATAATCAATTGTTTTCATTATCTAAAGTTAATCATTAAAATACAAACGAAAATAATTTTTGCTTAATTGTTGTAACGCTACATTACAGGGATAGTATTAGCGATTTTCCCAGTGAGTTTAAGGACAGCCAGGATGGAACCTACGACAACGGCGTAGCACATTCGATTGGTAAGTGTTCAAATAGGGAAGAAATAGAAAATTTGAAGGGAGGCTTTAAAGCAAATAAATATGCAAATATGTCCACAAAAATTATAAGCAATTTTGGAAAAGTGGCACATTAAAAATGAAAATTGGCCCGGGAAGGTTTAATAATATTTTACATTTTTGTCAAATGCTTATTTATTTATTTCAATTTTGTTGTTTACGCAAAGCGCGGCACGTGTCCTTGTTATTGCCATTTCGTCCATTTTTTATATATATTTTTTCTATTTTTGTGGTTTTTTATTTCAATCTTTTATATTGACAGATTCCGATAATGTGATTCCGCGCAACTTAACACCCGAAGTCCTGCAGGCATTACGTGCGGTCAGATTTATTGCACAACACATCAAGGATGCTGACAAGGATAACGAGGTAGGTGTATATATATTTGACTTTATTACTCATTGTGTTTGGCTCTGTGTCTCGAAGCGTCGAAAATAATATTTCGGTTTTATTATTATTTTTTTTTCTTTTCTCGTCAATCTTATTGTTCTTACTTTTTATTTCATTTGTCCTTATGCACGATTTTTATTTGTTTACTTTTGCGGCTGTGAACATATTTCGTACAATTCTCCGCCCTTTCCTAGTGTAAATAAACATAAATAATATTTTGTCTGCGTGTCTATTTTTTTGATTTGCAGTGGTGAAGTCAAATTGTCGGGCAATAAAAACGAGCGAACTCAAAATGATTTTTATTTCAATGCTTGCATATTGATTGCTCAGGGAAATAATATTAACTGAAGGCATATTTTTCAAATTTTATTCATAAGATAAATGCCAACAGATCTTCTTGTAAACAATTTCAATATGAAGCATTAAATAAGGTTTATTCCTTTAAATTTATTTTAAAGCAACAAAATGTGGACAGAGAAAATAAATTTGATTTAAATTTATCTAAAATACATAAAAAATAATGAAAAAATACTAGACTAAATACACTACCCCACTAAGATACTAAACTTTCATTTCTAAATGACTATTTAGAAGTCTCAGCGATTATCTATGCTCGCTACGCTCTAAAAGGCATTACAATAATAATAAGTTTGCCGACCAGTTCTTAAGATATGGATAAACAACGGTTTCTTCACTTCTGGTTGAGAGATTATGTCCACTTTAGGTTCATAGACTCTTTGCTATGAACCTATTATAAACTTTTGTACATCAAATAAAATAAATTTGGCAATATTTGTTGCATACATTAAATAGAAATCATTGAGTTTAGCAATGTATTTTACTAAACCCAATTAAGATACCTGTAATTTGAGAGATTTTCAATCGAAGTTTCTTTTCGTTGGAGTGTCGGCATTGTACGCAAGAAAGATAGAAAGACCACTTGAGCACAAATAATGATTCGTTGTGGTACAACAGGATAGGCATTTGTTAATAAATAGAGTAAATGTTAGTATACAACCATTCGCCAAAGAACGCAACGACTCCCCCGTTATGTAAAGACGAACTAAACTGACAGTTCTATAAACTTGGTTAAGTTCCTGATTTTGCAGAATGACAGATCAGTTAGAAAAGGGGCACCGCAAGTTTTGAATCTTCTTCTAGCTAAAGATGGGCACTGATACATGTGATGGTATACAACCATTCACCAAAAAAGGCAACGACTCCTCTATTAGGTAAAAATTACATTTAGTCTATGTTAATATAGCCAAAGAACGCAACGACTCCCACATTATGTAAAGATAAACTAAACTGACAGTTCCATAAACTTGGCTAAGTTCCTAATTTGGCAAGGTGACAGCTGAGACAGAACGGTAAGGAAAGGAGCGCCGAAGATTTTAAAACTTCTTCTAGCTAAAGATGGGCACTGACACATGTGATGGAGCACAGTTTCTTCCCCATTTTCAGAGCTACAACCACAATAAAATATTAATTGTTTGCTGTAAGCATATTTATTTTTATTTGAGGTATCAAAAGTACGTTACTAAATGATCATTTTAATTTTGAGGGAATAAAAGAAAGAAGAGAAGATAGGAATATAAGAAATGAGTTTAACCAGTTTTTTATTACATAAATATATATAACTTTGATTATTACTTTGACAACATTATCATCATCAATTCCTGTATCTCCTATTGGAGCATTGGGCCTCTTTGATATATAAACCCAATATTTATTAATTAATTTTTTTTCTCTTTAACCTTCTGCCTCAAAAGATGACTTGCAATCGTTTTGCATTGTTGGTTTCAATTTTGTTTAAAGGAAAGTATTGTCTTATTTTTTACACAGCCTTTTAACTATTATTATATAGTAGTTTCAAACTCCATAGTTCGATATCCATTAAACGAACATGTTACTGAAAGTTATGTTAGGTATATTAAACTATTCAGAGAAGATTCGATAAAGTCCACTTTCGAATACATTTTGAATATACAAGCAGCATAGTAAGCAACAATGATGGCAATAATCAAGGTGTAGTGTCTTCGCTCAATATGCAGCCCACTTTACATCGGTCCACATCGCTTCGATGATTCTATACTCTTAAAAGTTGATTTTTTTTTGTTCATTAAAGAAATCGTATATTGAGTAAAGATAAGGACTACTTAAGTAGTTTGAATGCTTGACATCGCATTATAGTACGTGGATTATGTATCCAAAAGTTGGTTGACATTTATAGAAACTTAAATAAAATTTATTTTTTTTTAAGTAAGTTTTTACAAAAAAATTAAAGGAAAAATAATTTCGTTAGGCTTTAAGAATATTTAAATCTCTGTTTATGTATTTCAGTGAATAAATTTCAACATTATTAGAGTTGCCACTTTACATTTTTTCTGTGTTCCCTGTTTTTATTTATGCTAGTCCTTTTTGAGATGTTGTTGCTTTTTTCATTAAAATTCATTAGTGCAACGAATGAACCACATTCAGTACAACCAGAGGCCATTTTTATTTTAATACAACCGCTTTAAAGGATTCATACCCATTACGGGTGAATACCACTCAAGCAAAGAAAAAAAATTGATTTTTTTCTGAATTAAAACAAAAGTTGCATTAACTTTGTGTAAGTTGGCTTTTGGATTTGCCAAGAATTGAGCGGTACAATCCAAAATAGAGTAAATGAAGAAGGCGACCAGAGATACTACAAACAAATATACTCGTCCACAAAAAAAGGCGAAGTGAAGTGAAAACACTTCAATGAA